CCAACTTGGGCCAGTGAAGCAACATCCTCCACAACTAGACTGAAGAACAAAAGGACAGCAACTTGTCTGTTCCCCTTCCCCCAATTCCCCAGTGCTATTCCCATCCTCCAATTCCCCAATAAAAATCTTTAAAAAAACAACATTATGTTTGTTGCCTGCCTGTCAATCTCATGAAATGTAAATGCAACTGAATAGGGGTTTTCTGTTTTGTTCACTGATACCATTATCTAGAATAATGCCCAGCGCATAGTAGGTACCCAAACATTTGCTGAACAGGTGAAGTATTCTATTGGGCAGCCTTTAGACTGTTTTATTACTTTCCCTGTTTGCTTTATAATTCAAACTTCTGTTGAATAGGAAAGCACGTATCACTGAAAAGTCATCAAACCTAACTGGATATTTTGGACCTTGGTGGCACCCACTTTCACAGGCTCACACGCCCCCTATCCCCTGTGACTCAGTAAGACCCCTTTAGGCTACTGTTCCCTCAGTGAGGGGCTCCAGTTCCATGGGAACAGTGACACTGCGGAGCAAAGTCAAACCTTTAGTCTGTCCTGACTGACGCCACTTGGTATGACCACACAGCTCCAGACTCCCACTGGTGGAGGCCCAGGCCCTGAATACTTTCATGTCTGTCAGTCACTCCGCAACAAAGCATAACTACAACAACAACATGGAGAGACCCCACCCTTCCAAAGAGCTCCTGAGGTTCCCTCTCCTGGACTGTTGCATGTGCTTGTCTCTCCAGCACTTGGTAATCATATCCTCTGGGGACCTGGGGTTCAGGCTGTAGCTCTGCTACATGACTGGCCTAATGTTCTCAGCAAGTTACCCAAGGGTTGTCTCCACGTGCAAAGCACTGACTGGGCTTCTCAAGGTCCAAGGACACAAGAGGAGGGAGAGTACTTTTAAAAACACAAATACCAGCCAGTAATGAGGTCCAGGATATCAAACACACCAAGCTGAGTTAATTTATAGACAGGTTGTCTAGCACCTGAAAGAACTTTCCCATAGAGACAGTGCTTCATCTCTCCTTACTGAGCATGTAATATATACTAAGGAAAGGATTGCCCTTTTATTTGCAGCATTTAGGTGTCATTCCATTGCCAGCAGAGATCATCTCTGGCTAGAGACTAGATACCTCGTAATAGCGTATCAACTCCTCCAGCTCATCAGCATGAATGACGATGTGAAGACCACACAGCTGTGCCAGGCGGAACTCCCGCCCATCCATGCAGGCAAAGCACACCTAGGAGAGAGAAGCCAGACAGTGTGAGTATCCTGAGACAGGGCACAGCACCAGGGATGCAAATATAGAAATACCAGCAACCAGGGCTTTTTAAGTTGGATTCTGAACAAGTAGATAACTGTAAGGTAAGCTGTATGAGACAGGGAGAAAAAATAATGACATTTCTAATCTGCAGGCCACAGGGGTGTTTGATGCCATGGAGAGAGGAGGGTTCTTGCATTACTTCAAAGCCCTGAGAGGTGGAGGTCTGTTTAGGTAACAGGAAAGTGATGCTGGAATTTCAGGTTTGGGGTTTGAAGAGTTGAACAAAGCTCAAGAATAACTGTCATCAGAGCACATTAATCTGAGTGATGTTCACGCAGGAGGAGCTTGCTTTAATAATCATTTTTTAAACTGTGCTTTTGTTTTAGGCACTGTATACAGTATGTACACTTACTAACAAGTGTTAAGAAGTGAAGAACCCCCCATCCCCTATGAATAAAGATGCTTCTGCTCAAAAGGATGCAGGAGGGGCCCTAGAGCTGCACTTCTTTTGAGGGTTGACCAGAAAGACACCCCCCCTTCCCCCTGCAAGTAGAACTGGCTTCTCTCTAAGTTTCCCTACCTCCCTGTCTTTTACATATGCCACGTGTTTTCATGGTAGGTAAGGCAGAAAACACTGATAAACAAAAATAATGACACAGCATAGAGATAAGTAGTCACTACCTCGAGACATGAGCTTTGCCCACTATTTTCTGTGTGATATATACACTAGCACCCACCAGATCTCTCTCACATATTCACGCACACAGTGGAAGTACACTGG